TTATACATTTTAGAGTTCTCACCTTTCCAGATAAACTTTTTAAAAAATCTCTTCTTCAAATTCCAGTTAAAAAACCGGATACTTTACACTTTCCTTTTTCTCTGTTTATCATAAAATCTTTACACGTTAAAAACAAATTTACATTTTAGAGTTCTCGTCGTTCCAACCAAACTTATTTGAAAAACTCTTCTTTAAATTCCAATTAAAAGACAAGGAAGCTTTGTGCTTCCCTTCTTCCCTATTTATCACACGTAGAGTTGCCTTATAACGAGTTAGATTCGTGGCACAGATTCAAAACAGTTATGTTACTAACAACAATGAATTTTAATTCCAACTTTCATTTCACTTTATAAGTCAGAGAATTACCAAATCTCGTTAATCTAGAATACATTAGCTTCTCTTACCTAACACAGTACTAAACCAGTAAAAATACGCACAGATGCATAGTCAGCGAAACAAATCACGAGTCAAGGGGTTTTCGAGAAATGTCCCTTCCCTTTTTCAATTAAGCAAAGAACAATAAAATCCAGTCGTACGAAAAATCTGATCAATCCTCCGTATGATCTAAAAATCAAAAAATCTACCGCTTGATAGCCTGAGCTCCTTTATACCAACAACAAAACACCCCGTTCTAGTGTCACAAATTTTCACCACACCACTTCAACTCTTGCACAGTGTTCGCTCGTTAGGCTAGACGAGACGAGCATAAAGTCAGAATCTAAGTTGCGCGCGTGCCGACCAATACACACACACGCGATGCATACGCGTCGCAAACGAACGAAGGTCTCAATCGTGGTAAGGCATAACGCAATAATAATCATAATGCCAGATCGATACGCGATATTCGTTGCATCGCACGGTGTATGTCATTACAAGGATGGAGGCACGAAAGCACACGGAATGCCGCGGAGTCGCGTAACGATGTCACGCTGAAAAATCCGCTTAAATTATCGGTTTCTTCGCCTTGTGAGAGCGGCTTGTACCTTTTTCTTCGCGTGCCTGCCTTTTTTTCCTCTTTCCTCTCTCTCTCTCTCTCTTCCTCCCCCGTTCTGCCTTTTCTCTCTCTCTCTCTCTCGTTTACTCGGTTCTCTTTCCCCCTTCGCGACGTTTCTTCGCGATTTTCATGCCGATATGCATCTCTCGTTGGCCCGATCGCGGCGGGGACTCGCGAAGAAAGTAAATAATATGCAAGAGCCGCGTAATGAGCGTACAATTACCGCGCGAGATTGTTCGATATACGGCCTGTAAAATCTGGATATTGTAAATCAACTGTTCCGATACACGGCGACTTTCTAACCGTCCCGTCGCCTCCAGCGGCCACGTTTTACCCTCTTTTGCCCGTCGACGTTTTTGGAAATTCGAGAGATTTTAACGATTCCCGATTTAACGGGGATTGCAGGACCAAAAGTGTCGATTCTAGTTGAGTTTCTAATATAGAACCTTCGAAAAATTCAAGTTATTCCTTTCCGCGGGTCTTCTTCGAAATTTGACGCGTTTGAAGTAACGCGCCCGAATATTAGGCGGGAAATTCAAAAGTTTTACGGAGATATGGAAGTTTAAAATATTAGACACGCGAGTTCCTTTTTTAAAGTATATTTCTCGAAGAGATTAACATATAATAGAAAGAAAGCAAAGGTTTCCTTAACCCTTTAGCGACGGAAGTATTTCTTTTTTTTAAAGAATCTGTTACTTATCTTTCTTCGATACTAAATCTTCGTTCGAGTATTCAAGTGAGAAATATGCGTCTCTGTGGTCACGGAAAGGGTCGAGATACGTACGAAACACGTAGAAAATTTGAAGGATCTACTCTATCCATGGTATTCGATTAAAAAGAGAATTGCATTTTTTTCAAACGCTCCGAGCCCCTTAATGGCGTTCACGAAAGGTCTGAGTTCAAGCGTTACTTCTATTGCCGAATGAATTCCACCTGGAGGACTCTTGAATTACGCTTCGACGACGGCGAAAAGTGATTGAAACGCCGCCAGTTCCTTGTTTCTTGCGAATCCAGGATGGAAATTTCAATTTTCGTGCTAATGGAGCGAGGCATGATTAACCTAGAAGCGGCGTGATTTATAATACGCCGATCGAAGCGAAGCTACCGCGGGAAATTGATTTTATTCAAATTTTGTCGAATTCATCAATGTCCGCGTGCGGAATTAACGGCTTTCGAGATTTATTGACGGGGATCGTTAACGGTTCGTTATTTTAACCTCAAAGGTGCATCGTCGGTCGTTTAATGGCTTTTTTTTTTCAGCAGTCTGTGTGGAAATATTCGACACGTTGTCAATTTATGGTATCTGTACATAGAGCGCTGTAATTGAATAGAAAATTATTCTATTTGCTGGAATAGACCAGAAATGGAAAGTAGATTTATTCCAATGACTGTAGAAATTGTTGAAAATCCTCACTGTAGATATTATTGCACACGTACCTATGATGAAATCGAAGAAACGTGAAATGATATTATCCCATTCCAAATTGGTGCGATACTGTGCGTTAATTGAAAACGATTGTAATTATATTCACGGTAAAATGTTCATGTTAATATAGCATCGTAAATGAAATTAATTTGAATTACATTCATCGTAAACTTACCTTAATATGGCATTGTTATCACACCATAAATTCATCCATGAAAAGGTTAAATTTAGTTTCTTAGAAAACTAATTCCGATCTAAAGAAAAATCCTACTCTAAACTTTCGATCTATTCCTGTAGAATTACTTTCTCTAATATGGCACCATAAAGCCACATACGCAAGACCATCCGTGAAAGGGTTAAACTTACTTTCGTATTAAAAAAATCTTACTCTAAACTTTCAGTCTATTCCGACCCGTAGAATTACTTTCTCTACTATGTCACCGTAAATTCGCCTATGCAAATCCATCCGTGGAAGTGTTAAATGTAATTTCTCAGTAAAAACAATCTATTCTGACCTGTAGAATTCTGTCTATCGTTATCTCACGCTCTATGTAAAAACCTTGGAAACCTTAAAGCAACGTTAGGCGATCTTCGTCTTCGTTATCGAAAATCCTCAATCTGTCAACGATACGATAAACATCCCGAAGTCTTCGTTCGCGAAGCCGGGTATCTGGTATCGTAGGTTTTTGAGGTGCTAAAACGTATGCAGCATCCGTGGATGACGGTTAATTGCATCTTAAAGAAGGAGAAAATGCAACGTTTTACTGTCCACTCGTTCAGATAACTCGCCGGTAATTTATTGGCGATCGACCGCTTCGCGATATATATATATATCGTGGTCACCGGCGTGATTAACACCCAATCGCTTAAACCACGAAGGAAACGCCGCTCGCCAGGGCCCAACCCAGTAGTCGACGATTAATTTCTGCTGGAAATTATAAGTTTAAAAGCGGTCCAAACCGAGTATCCGTGTGCCATTTACACACGCGGAGGCACCGAAAATTATTGGCGGTCCATTTCGTCGGTAATTGGATCGTTCGTCAGCCGGGGACAATGAGGAAATAAATAATTATCCGTGCGTGTGTGTGCGTACGCATATGCACCTATATACACGCGCGAACACGCACAAATAACTATTTATATATACATAAAATATAATATATATATGTATAAATGTGTACATAGGGAAGTCGTATATTTTACGTGAGCCGATCGCGTTTGTCATCGGTGATTGATCACGAGGCAGGAATGTAGAAAGACAGCTGAAGTCAGGATCACTTAATTCAACCTTGCCGATCGAAAGAAATTCATTCGTCCCGATAAATTAATATTTTACAACGCACGGTGCCTACTGTTAACTCTGTTTGCGACTTGAAACTTACTAAAAGAGAAAATTTGATCGGTCAAAGTTGTCTACTTTCGAGACAACTTATTCTCTATCTTATATCAGTATAAAGTGTAGAAAAATGTACTTTTCCACGGATATGCTTGTTACCTAAAAATTACGAAAAATCACATTTTTGTAACTCAACCTAAGTGAGTTTGTATTTGAACTACCTGTGATTCGTGGAAATCCCCGAATAGGGATGAAACACGTGAAAACTGACGACAGTGTCATCGATACACCCTGTATAAAATAATACAAATTACTCACCTATGTGTGGGTATAGAAATATCGTTCGCACTTGAGCTACCTTGATTCGAGGAAATTCTTGAAGTTCTGAAAATTACGAGAAACATTTTATCACTATTTGCAAGTGAGTTTCCATTTAAATTGGCTGTGACTTGTGAAAATTTCCGAATAGGGTTGAAACACGTTGAAACTGACGAGAAAGTGATTGCTAGTGTGCATACATTTCTGTACGTGATCGTGAAATCGAGCAATAGGAAAAACGTGATCGCGTTAAATACTTGTAGGAAGAAATTGGATCGATCTCTGGTCTATCCTTTCAAGGAGGTCTCGTTGTTCTCTTTTCCCTATTGGATTAGGTGTGCAACTCGACGATACCTCTGATTTGATGGACCATAACATCGATAGCGATTATAGCTGGTTCGGTTGATTTGCCGCACGGTAGTGATTAACGCTCGATCGTTGTTTCGCGAATAGAAGCCGATCAATATCGGGGCGAACGATACCGATGATTATCTCGTATCGCGCTTTTCAACCTATCCATTAGTCGAACCTTATTACCAACTCATCGCTGCTGAAATTAACCGGACACTTTCATTAACCTAACCTTTTAAACCGTGATTAGTTCGAATATTACCTAATGAACCATCGGAATACCTGTATACCATTTAGAGATTGTATCGTTTCGATTTCTTCCATTTGACCTGTCCGAAAGAATTTAATACGCTAACAGAATGTTCCGTTTTGTTACCAGCATTCAAGACGTGTGGTCACGTCTGAACGAAGAGGATCCATCGTCTTCGGCATCGTCTTCTTCCTCCTCCTCTTCCTCTTCTTCTTCGTCGTCGTCGTTGAAGATTATCACGATTCTCGAGTGCAATGTTCCAAGTTTCGAAACGAGATAGAGACGATAATTACGCGAGTGTACTTTCTACCGGTTTATTAGATTCCTTCGATTCGGTATAATTGACGAGAGAGAGGAAGTGTTTACCGAGTATCATATGTATGCGGTAGAGTTAAAGAGAAAAAAGGACCAAGAAGAGGACACAGTGTCACAACGCGTGTGAAATGGATGGTACGCCAAAGAAAATCGAAGCAGTGTTAATATATGGATGCCCATGGGTGGAATTTGGCCGAAATGTGCCAGCGTTACCATCACGCTGTACCGGCAGCCCAAAATTCTTCGCCAGCTAGGGATCCCTCGGCTGCCATTGTGCAAGGCTTGTCAACGGCTACGCACATCGACCAGGCCAGCCCTTCTTACTCCCACTACACGTGAGTATTCAACATTTTCTACTTGATTTCTAGGAAATGAGGGAATTGCTTGAATTGAAATTACATTAAGGAATGAAATTCCTAAAGATAACATTTTGTTGAAACGGTTTTCACGATAATTCTGCGCGTCGTGTTTTCTTTAATACGTCTCTTTTCTTATTTAATACTTCGCAGTTGGTTTTAACGACAATGAATATAGCATTAATATTATATTCTTAGCATTTTCACGACGACTAATTATAAATATAATCAAAAATAAATACATTCCCCGTAAAAAGACAACGGGAACTTTTACACAGACCTAGGAATTAAGTCTGAAATACCTTTGATAAAATTCAAAGGGTCTAGCGTCGCTTAAACAAAAAAGGAAATTCAATTTAATCGGTAATGTTCAATCACAAGAAACAATTCTCGCTAAAAAGAATAACTAAATTACTATCACACATAAAATTATAATTTATCGTGTATTGAATTCTCCGGAAAAAAAAGAACCAGTAGAACGATTATTTCCAAAACACGAAAAAAGAGACCGACAATTTATTACACACAAAGCCCCTCGTGCATACAATGAATCGGCGGAAATCAGGCTGACAAAATCGCAGAAAATTACTGCCGCGCATAAAACCATTAATTTATACACCATTGAACGCTAAAATGCAAAAAAAGCAAGAAAGAAAGAGAGAGAAAAAAAGGCGAAAGATTAATCTTCAAGTCGATAGAATGGGAAAAATCAATGAATCGACAGGAGGAGCGTAATTTCTCGCCCCTTCATTCATGCGAAATTGCGAGCAACGATGTTGGGCTGGGCCCGTAACGTCCGCGAAAAAATGGCGACCGTTTCGGCGTTTTCGCACGTGCCCTAACCGTGTAGTCATCTTATCGCAGCCACGGGACCTTCTCAATTGTATTATATATATTAATAACGATACAGCGAATTAGGGATAAGTATACGATTCCGCGGTCAGGCCTCGGTAATCCTGTTATTAGCGCGGCGATTAGGGGAAGATGATCCCCAGGCAAATTGCAGGGGCGTATACCGCGGTGTTTGGTTAACGTAATCACCAATCACTATTGTTGATCCTCTCTTACATAGGTAGAGAGAAGAAGAGGGACGGATAGCGGTGGAGAGCGAGTAAGAGAGAGAGAGGGAGAGAGATGGAAGAAAAGAGATCGTAAAGAGAGAGAAAAGGGTCGATGCGTCGAAGCCCTCGGGACCCCACGGCATTTCCCTTCTTTAAGAATTTTCTGGTTTACGTTAGAAGGCCCCTCGAAGGCGAGTGAAGCTCGGGATCTCGCTCGTGTCCCGCAGACATTCGTGCCGTGAGTCGATTAAATTGCAGTTTACGCTCGGATTCAATATTTCACTGTTATTACCTGGAATTGGCGTAACCAAACGGCAGAGAACAGTCCCTTCTTTAAACAGTTCGAGATTATTAGGTTGACCATGTCTAAGGAATTTCCTATTCCGCTATGCTCCACGATACGACCGACAGTTTATGGATAATACGAGTTTGATACCCTTTTGCAGTTTATCGTTGTTACGGTTTTCCTTTAGACTCTTACATTTTATTCGCAAATTTATGTTTTGTTTCTTTTCCTTCTGACATTCTTCTGTTGGAACGGCGGTTAGCGCACCTACACTACCGGCCAAATGTTTGGAATCACTGTGCATTACAAGTTACACAAAAATTTCCAGAATAAAGTTAGCAATTTTAAGAATACTTTAACCGATTCTTCCTCGCTTAAATCAACCGAAATAAGGTAAAATACTATCGATCTCCGCAACATTCATTTCAAATCTATAAAAAATTAGCAGCGGATTCAATTTTACGGATTCGAAACTTTTGGCCGGTAATGTATATGCATTGCTGCTCGCATGTTTAATCGTGCAATGAAAAAGTGCGATGTGATTTAATTCCTTCCGTTTGAATCGATGAAATTTTAATTCTGTTTATGAAATTTGAAATTTCATATCGAACTCGACAGAGTGGAGTTTATTATACTCGCCTAATTCGTTGTTTTCCTATAGTCACTTTCAGTTTTACTACGTTTTAACAGGTGTGAGTGAACTTTCAACGGTAGCATATATTAAGAGGCTATCTGTTACATTTTTTGTGTGTATGCTATTGTATCGTAGTTTCAAACTGCAAAAATTTAATTTTTCAAGAGAGAAGAAAATCACTTTGTTAATTAATGTAAAATTACTTTTGCGCCGACTTTATCCACCAATTTAAAAAAGTAAATATAAACGGCACAGTTGGTGAATAATTTCAGTGCAAAGCGACAAAGTGGTTTTCTTCTCTTCTGAAAACTTAAATTCTTGTAGTTTAGCAACTTTACTTGTCCGTTTTCCCAATTTCGTCTTCCTATGCTCTTTTTATTTTCACTCGTTTTACAGTTTGCGGTAGTATTGTGATTATACCATTTCTACGGTAAATATGAAAACGTAGCTATACAGGTGATACAGGTAATCGTAAAGATCTACAAATTACGAAAGTCGCTAAAAAAGAAAAGTTCCTACCAACAATCGTTTATCCCAAAATATCCACGTTTCGACGTGACCAAGTACCTTGTCCTACCTAAAATTCATTGTCCAAGCGTTCAATTTCACAGTGCATTAAAAGACATGTAAACACTTCCTGGCTAATCTTATTTAGCACCAGAGTTACCAAAACTGTCTTGAATTTAAGAAATTTCAGTTAAGTAAATTTTCTGTTGCACGAAAACGAAAAATGGCCTGCTCGACTGAAAGAAAGCAGGAGGAAAAACGAAAATGCTGCCAGCGTTCGGATTGACTTTTCAACTGCAGCGCTTCCTGGCGACGAAAATCATCTTCATTAAAATTGTTCCGGTCGGTTCCATCCGTTGCTCGCGCGGCCGTCGCATGGATCGCGAACCATGTCACGATATTCAGTCACATGTCCCGGCGTGTAACCTAGATTCAAAGTGTCAAGGAGTGATGTATATTTTCATCGTCTGGTCTTCGCCGCACTTCTCGACACGCCTCGCCGTCCAACTACCTGGGTCTCAAATCGAAATCTTCGTTTCGCGCGATTCTTGCGCGATCGACGAACGGCAAATTGGCTCGATTCGTTGGGACGAGTTCTTTGTTCAGCTATTTATACGTGTAGTTAGATTCACCTTCGTTAAAATACACACACGCTATATTTATTGCAATTTGCGAACTGGTATTTTGAAATTTTATTGCTTTCATGTTTCTCGTGTTGATGCGGATACAAAACGACGTGAATCTAGAAACCTGTTACGAGCTTGGATTATTTCGGTGAAGTTTTTCTTTCGACAGTTTCTTGTAGAACTTTTTAAGTTGCTCCTGTTTGTTCCACGTTGAATTTCTTTTCGTTTCATTTGGAGTTTTATCGGTTTTTAAGCACAGGTTAATTGGACGATATTAATTTAATGCCAGGTTCGGTGCAAGGGGAAGCATTAAAGTTTTTATTGTTTTCACTTCTCGGTTAGAAATTGACAAAAATTGTATTTACGTATTTTGTTCTGATTTTTGTAAATATGAATGTTACATTTTAGCGGACAATGTAAAAAATAAGAGAATGCAGGAAAATTATGACGAGCAACATTTTGCACAAAAGTGCAACTTCGGTTAGAATTTTCACTGTACTCGATGGTATCATTTTTAGGAAAGATAAAATACATTCAAAGAGTATGAAAAGTCCAATACTACGAAGGCCGTATAACAAATGTAAATTGAATTTGTAGTAAACTAATTTCGCCTACTTTCAGTAAAACGTAAGCCTGCTAGAAACACTTTCAAACTTCTTCAAACTATTCTATTAAAATTCACCTGCTCCTGTTAAAAACAAATTAATTTCTTTCTATTCTTACTAAAATTCAAGCTGCTTATTTCAACGCAATTCGTTCCAATAAATTCCATTTACTCCTTCCTTTGCCAAAACTGAAATTTCCTCAAAGATTTCCTTTAGCTGAACATCCGAATTTCTCAATCTGCTAAATTCCACCGCACGCCGCTCAAATACATCTAATTTATCTCTATTTTCCCTAAAATTCAAGCTTCTCATTTCAACACAATACATTCCATTCATTCCTACTTTTGCTAAAACTGAAACTTTCTCCAAAATTCCCCTTCACAAATACATCCAACTTACTCCTATTTCAACACAATTCCATCCAATAAATTCCATTTACCCCCCCTTTTCCTAAAATTCAAGTTTCCCCAAAGTTAAACGTCCCCTTATTCCTCCTACAATTTAACTTAACCATCGAGATTTCTCAATTCCTCCAACAACTCCTTCGGCATACCTACCTGTTGGAAAATAGTTAGCAAAGTGTCTGGAACGATTGTCGAAGGTCGACAACCTGCCGTCGAACAACGAGGTCGATTCGCAAACATCAATTATATCGACGAAACGTCAATAATTCCGTGAACGATAAACTACGCGTTGCGTGTCGGTTTTTCTTGGTAGCGGCGTCGCGTCGGGATTCACGATGGTTCTCGGTGCGTCGCCCGCGGACGCATGCGGCGGCGAACAATACCCGGACTTCCCCCGAATTTCGAGTGGTCGCAGCTTTCGATCGATCGATCGAATGCAAAATATTAAACGCGAGAGACGATGACACCGCGCGGACTATCCCTCTGTGTCACGCGCTGTCCTCGTAATTTCTACGTTCGCGATGACTCAGATCAATGACTTGACGAATGGGACGGTGACTACGTATTAATTGCGGCTAAAAATCATTTATGGCAATTTCAAGGGAATCCTATCTTTCAGCGACATTTCCAAGAATCGCAATTTTACATCCAGTTTTCCTTCGTTCCTCCTGTACTCTAGCTTCGCGAGTCCTTTTAAGTAGCTTCTAACATTCTCTTTACAATTACCTTCTAATTTTCTCATCCGATTTTACGATTTTATTTGCACAATTTTTTAATTTCGCCTCCAGTTTTTCATCATCCTTTATGCTTCAGCTTCGTACATTTTCTTAAATATCTTTTAATATTTTATTTATAC